ACACAACCAGCCACCCATTACTCTACCCACCTAGAGACAAGTGGGTAATGCCCTGGTGTTTCCAAACTAGTGAACCTGAAAAGAAAAAAAATGCCAACCAAGAATTATATATCCAGCAAAACTATCCCTCAAATACAATAGCAAAATTAGGGTATTTCCAGATAAACAAAAATTAAGGAGATATGTAAAAACCACGCCAACCCTACAAGAAATGCTGAAGAGAATCTGTTAGAAAAGGTCACATTCAACCTCTATGGAATACAGTTCTACTCAGAAACATATAGGGCTGCTATGAATTGGAATCAACTCAAAAGGAACTGACTATGCTTGGCTACAAGAACATAATTTTTTTCCCCACAGCTCTGCAAATGATTTGAAGAGCCTATATTATATGGAAAAAGCCATAAAGTCTGCAAGTAATAATTTGATACCTATAGGTAAGAGGACTAAAAACCTCTTAAAAAAAAAAAAAAAAAGAGCCCTCATATAGTAAGTCAGTACTACTGATCAATAATGTTTGCCTAGAGGAGACCTTAATACTTTATTTATTGACTGCTATGAATTCATAAAAATTGATTCAGTTTAATCTCAATATTGTTGATGCTCCTCACACCTCATTTCACGAATGATCTAACCAATGGTAAGAGGCACCTACCACGAAAAAGTTAAAATGATTCAGTTTGCAGAGATTTCTTGGTTTCCAAACTCTAATGTGACAGCTTAAGGGAAAAAAAAATAAACTCAAAAGTGGTGGTGATTAGGGAAACAGTTACTGATGCAATAAACTCACCTCAACAAGTTTCAACTACAAATAAATGCCACGTGTTCTAATAAAATTAGTTTTACATGTAGCTAACAAAAATTCTTCTTACAGAATTTCAGAAATCAATTTCTTAAACTATATGCTCGCTAGCCCATGTTTTAACAGGGTACCTATGAACTTTATGCAACCAAAAACCAAACCAAACTCACTGCCATCGAGTCAGACCCAACTCACAGCGACCTCTCATTGGGTCTCGGAGGTGATATCACTACGGAAGTAGATCGCCCAAATCTTCCTTCCAAGGAGTGGATGGATGGTGGGTTTGAACCGCCAGCCTTCTGATTACCAATCAAATGCCTGAGGTACTATGCCATCAGAGCTCCTAAGTTTTAACAAGGTATCTACGAACTTTAAGCAACAGCCCCTCTAAAATCTTATACATTTCATTTTTTTCAGGATACAAGACAAAATTTTTTCAAAACCTAAACTCTTAACTTCATAAGCAAGTATCTCCTTTCCAGATGGCCAGTTCCCAAAATAGCTGCCTATAACTGTTATGAAAAACTTCAAACACAAATAAAAGTAGACTAGCACAATAACACAAGCTCCAACAGTTATTACTCCAGTTATTATACTTTTTCATCTATGTACCACCCTCTGCCCTGGGATTTAAAGTAATTACCAGATTTGTCACACTAAAGCATTTCAGTCACACAGTAGTTACCTAAACTCTAGTACATCTTTTCCTGAAGCTAAATCTCCCCACATATAGGCTCTCCATACATACCTGAAAAGTATTACAAAAGAGAAACTGTGTTGGATAATGAAGAGAGAACACAAGTTATCTGAGTCAAGTTGCTTCTAGAATTTAACATTCTAGGTAGATAGTTAGAAACAAGAGTTTTAGTTCTTCTGAATTCTTATATTTAACGTAAATAAAAAAAGGCTTCAAAGAGGTTTCACGTAAAAGGGACATTTGTCCCAGATTTAGAAAGGCTAGATTAAGCTCATGCTGTACCCTTCCCCAGAGGACTATTTCATTATTCATGGCAGTTTATATCTGAATTAAGTTCTGAATGTCTGGTGTTCACACAAAAATATCATGATTTGTTTATATTTTTATTTCCAAAGCTAATTAAATTCACAAGTCTTGAATTTCAACAGTAAAACAGACTCAACATTTTCACCTCCTTTTAAATCAAGGCAGAAACCATAATCAGTTTTGAGGATAAATACACACAGCATAAAAATTATTTATAATTGTTTTCTTTGCTATGGAATTTATCCCAGCCTTTTACCTTTCAAACTTACCCAGAGTTACTCCAGGAATAAGTCCTGGTGATCTGCTTCTGATAGGTCACAGCCTTGAAAACACTATGGAGCAGTTCTACTCTGTCTTTTATACCTCCTTCTCCAACAGTTCTAAATGGATGAAATTTAGTTAAGATCAGAGGAAAGACAGGATATCTTTTGTAATATCAAGGGTATCTACAGAGAAATATGTAACAAAGAGAAGTCTACAGGTAGATTAAATACGGTAAATCTTACTTTTTTTTTTAATCTGAAAAACCACTTCCTTTTTATCTGAAGCAGACTTATGCAATAATAGAGGTTATCCTCACCTCCCAAAACATAAGAAGGTCAAGTCACTCTGCTTCATTAATTATTTCTTAGGGAAGACTGTAAAATATAAGTGCACTTGTACATTTATGATTTAACAATCCATAAATACTGTTGATTTAAACAGTGGTGACAGTAACAATCAGGTAAATCTACTATACATCTTTGATTTCTGATTTTTATGTTGTGGTAATGGAACAAGTTTGAAATACAAAAAAAAAAAAAAGCAATTCACTGGAAACCTAAGACATGGTTGTCTCAAAATCACCCAGTTTTCAGACCAATATTCTAAAGATACACTACAGCCCTCTTAAAGGACCCCTTAGAAACTAATTACAAGCATACCTCGGAGATTTGGTTCTAGAACACTGCTATAAAGCAATTATTGCAATGAAGTCAGTCACACAAATTTTTTGGTTCCCAGTGCATATAAAAGTTACATTTATACTATACTACAGTCTATTTAGTATGCAAAAGTATTATAAAAAGGAGCTCTGGTGGCACAGTGCCTAAGGCATCTGACTGCTAACCAGAAGGTTGGCAGTTCAAACCAACCAGCCACTCTGCGGAAGGTATCCGGGGCAATCTACTTCCCTAAATATTTACCGCCTTGGAAACCCAATGGGGGTTGCTATAAGTTGGAATCAACTCAATGTCAGTGGGTTAGCATTATAAAACAGTTTGAAATACTGTAAGAGTTACCAAAATATAACAGAGACATGAAGTGAGTATATGCTGGTAGAAAAATGGCACTGACAGACTTGCTCAATGCAGTTACCACAAATTGTAAATTTGTAAAACATGTAGTATCAGTGAAGCACAATAAAATGTGGTATGCCTGTAATGAACCACTGACAATTAATGATACAAGACAATCATTGGTTTTAAGTGGCATAAATGGTTAAGCACTTTACTACCTGAACCACTGGCAGCTGGAACCAACAGAGGTAACTTGAAATGACAGGCCTGCAGATCTGCTTCTGAAAGGTCAGAGTCTGGAAAACCCTATGAGACCATTCTACTCTGCCCACATGGGGTCACCATGAGACAGAATTGACATGATGGCAACTAACAACATCACAAGTACTTGAGGCAACATCAGAACATTTGAACAATGTCAGGGAGGGGTTGCACCAATGGTTTGTTTTAAGCTTGACTTTAAATATAAGCTTTATTGACAATGTAAGATAATTTATAGGTTCCACAAACTGCAAACCCAGGATGTTGGCAGAAAAGCAACTAAAATATTAACACAGAGAATTAGCGTATTATGAACATCAATGCACTTCCATCCATCTTTTTTTTTTTTTTTTTTTTTACTAAAGCTGTCAGATACCAACTTGTAGAGCAAGGATTTAAGATTAAGGAAGTTAAAAAAATCTGTTCCATGTCTATTAGAGAGAAGATTTCATTATTACACTGGTTTATTTTGAACTCAGAATATCAATCACTTTTAGAACAGCATACTGAAGATAGGCTGTAATGGATGCCACCCCACTACTTTCAATTAATTATTCAAGCAACTCAAGGCCTGGTGTCTCAAAATTGTTCTTTTTACCCAGGGTAAAGTCAAAGATGGGAAAATATAGATTTGAGTCCACAGCATAAATAATCTTTAAAGAAGATGACATACAGTAAAACCTGCAAAAGCCAGAACCTGTGTAGGGCAAAAAGCTATTATCAGAAAAGGAAAATTCAAACATTTTCCACTAAAATGAATGGTAGCAAATTGGCAAGATTGCGCCCCGTCAAAAGCGGAAAACGTGAAATCCAGAGAAAAAAAGGCAATCCCTTCAAGTTCCAGCTTTCACAGGTTTCACTGTAGCATGGCTTTATGGCAACCAAAAAAAGTTTTTAAACAGCCACTTGTCGGGTGAGGTACGGCAAAGCATTTATGATGAATTACCCCTCAGAGGCGAACTGATGAATACAAAAGATCTTGTGGTCTTCAAGTAGATGAAAGGGACAAAGCAAAAAGGCTGATGAAATATATATCACATAAAGTCAGTGACAAGTCAGACCTTGAGAAACAACTATTTGATATTTAAGACAATGAGAAAGTAAGTATAGATTAAAATTGCAAAAAAGTTTACAGATTTTTTAAGTAACAGATACACAACTTAGAAATGAACATACTTAAAGGAACTAGATACAGTATTATGCATTGCAATGACTTGAGGTTAAATAATATTTGAAGTGGCTCTGCAATTATTCCCCACCAGTTGATGTTGTAAATTCAGTTTCTGGCAACCAAAGTGCTAAGGAATATAAAAAAATATATCTGATACTCTTTTTCACCATGAAAAAGCAAAAAAAAAGAAAATTCCAGTCATTTTAGCAATTTTAAATGCGAATTTTATTTACTGCTAACTGTGCAAACGATATCAATTCAATACTGTGCAGTAAAACTGTTACATAAATCCAGCATTAAACTACAGCATTTGGGCTAAATCTAAAGCAGAGCACCATGTGCCTTCAAAAGGAATTAACATCACAGAATACAACGCAGTTTAGACATTTCTTAGGAAACCTCAAGAGAGCTCTCACGTAAAGTTGTTAGTCACCTAGAACCAAAGGTTCTTGATTTTGTTGTTTTATTTTCTAGGAAAAACAAATGAAGTTATTCCAATTTTGCGTGGTTTAATATGTGTGATTATCTGATCCAAGGAAATAGTTCACATTACTATTTCTTTCATCAAATGGTACATCAGCAAAGTTGACAAGCTGGCTGACAGATACACAGCTGAGTACAATGAAATGGGCTGAATGAGGCGAGTTGCACATTCATTTCAATTTCCTCATTCACATCAAAAAGCAGTATTTTTAAATGACTAATTTAAATCAAAAGATAAAATAATCTTAAAGACAGATACACCAGGAACCATTCTAATTACCTAATCACTTAAGCACTAACTTAAAACATTATATAAACTAAAACAGCAAGAAAAATGGCAGTGCAAGAATGCTTCATAATACTGAATCTTACATGTTCTGAGGTACATAATGAGAAGTTGGAGGTGAAGCAATATAGCCAACTGGCCCAGGATTCATAGCACCATTAATTTGAGAACCACCATATATTGCACCAATTGGATGCCAGGGAGCAACATAGGAGTAATCTGGCACAAAAGGCAGACAGGAATCAAAGCCCAGCAAAGGTGGCTGCCCATAGGGATCTGATATTACTGGATAATATACTGTTCCATGGGGGACAGATGCAGGGTCAGCATTAGGAAAAGTACCTGAAACAAAGAATCCATATAGTGTAATTTATATATAAACACACTTTTATGTATATGTACGTATGTGTGTGTGTGTATATAAATTCATTAAAACAGAACCTCATGCTACATAAAGGGATACCTTACAGGTGAAAATAAAATCAATCATTGACTACAGAAACTATCACAGCAACTGCATCAGGAACACTTTAGATATGAAAAACAGAACAGGGTACCAAAAGAAATGAAAATTTCCAAATTAAAAAATACATTTCGACAGACATATTATGTTTCAAATGAATTCTACCTAGAGATTTTTCTGGGATGATTTAGGTACCAATAAGCTAAATACTTAAAGAAACATTCTATAGAATGTCTAGAGTCTTTCTCAAAAAAGAACTTATCACAATTAAGTTATCCAATAGCTTTCCAGTATAACACTTATCGTCCAAATAACGATTTTGTATTACTTTAGCAATTAAAAATCTAGATAGCTACACAGTCTGATCCATACTGAAGAATATTTTAAAAGACCAAACATTAAAGTGTCATCTACTAAATTAATGTCATTAAGATACTTTATAGCACTTTTGCTATCACGAGTCACTTTCAGTGGCAATAGATGCTCTTCTGCCTTGCTTGCTATAGTAACTATAGATATTAGATGAAAATAAATACATCATTGTTTGGTGACTCAGATCAACTCATTCTGTCAAAAATTTAAATTGCCACTGCCCAATGGTTTACTACAATTAAAAATAACTCTATGAAAGTATATTGTACAAAAGCTCAATAAAGGTTGACATTTTAATTTTTATTACCATGGGTCACAGCAAATCACCTTACCAGAGATAAAATTCTATAGTGCTAACATTTGAAAACCATTAATATGCTTAAAGAAGGGAAGAGGAGCATGAAAGGAAGTTAACATTCCTAATGAGTTTGGTTTTTGTAATATGCATCAAAAGGAGCTCTGATGGCTATAGTGTTAAAAAAAAATTCGACTGCTAACCAAAAGGTCAATGGTTTGAACCTACCAGCACCTCCACAGGAGATAAATGAGGCTGTCTGCTTCTGTTAAGATTTATAATCTTGGAATCCCTTATAAGGGCAGTTCTACTCTGTCCTATAAGGTCGCTATGAGTCAGATTCAACTAGATGGCAGGTGAGTTTAATACGCATCTGGCACTGCATACTTATGCATTCAGTCTCATTTCGTTCTTATAACAATGCTACAAGTCAGGGATTCCCCATTTTACAGAGAATTATGGATAGGGAGGCTAAGTAACTTAGCCAATATTGTAATCAAGTAGCAGGGAATGCTGGAATGTGAACCAGATTTGGTTCAGCTAGGCCACAACACTTCTCTCTCATGCTGATTCTAAGAAGGGTAGTCCCAAGATCCTATTCTAAATCACCCAAAATGCCTCCCTATCTGTGTTACACTGTGAACTCATACACAAAACCACCATCCTATGGTCTAGCACAATAATTCTCATTTGGTCTCAGGATCCGTCTATATTCTTAAAAATTAAGGACCCAAAACAACTTTTGCTTCTGTGGGTTGTGCCTAACATTTACCAGATTAGAAACAAATCAAATTTAAAAATATTTATCTATTCATTAAAAGATAAAACAAAACAAAAACACCAAGCTCACTGCTGTCAAGTCAGTTCTGACTCACAGCGACGACTCCTTGGATTTCCGAGGCAGTATCTCTACAGAAGTAGATTGCCCAGCCTTCCTTCCATGGAGTGGCTGGTGGGTTTGAACTGCCAGCCTTCTGGTTAGCAGTCAAATTGCCTTAGGCACTATGCCACCAGAGCTCCCATTATGTGAACGTAACATTTTTATGAAAATGTTTCCAAATTTAAAAGAAAATGTATGAAAAGGATAGCAGTGTTTTACACTTGTGCAAATCTCAAACATATGGCTTACTAGAAGACAGCAGGATTGTCATGTGCATTTGCATAATTGTTTTGGTTCAAGTATATGAAGAAAACCTGGTTGCACACAGATATGTTGTTGGAAAAGAGGGGCATCATTTAATATGCCTTATAGATAATAACTGCTATCCTTTGATACTACACCAAAACTAAATGGCAGTTTCTGAAATGTAAGTAGCTACGTGGACTTTTCATATTGTGCAATTAAAATCCAATGCTCTAACCTGTACTCTGGATAATCTTTTACAAAATCATACATGGATAATATCATGTATTGTTAAGAAAATATTGTTTCACTGAGTTATGCAGATGTTCCAAATACTAACACAGTTCATTATACGATGAAGAAAAATCCTATTTATTCATATCTCCACCTATGTTATTAGAAAAGTATTGGGAAGCTGTCAAGCTCACAGTTACAAATACAAGCTTTCCAAAATTCTACTTTTACTTGAAAACTTGAATTTTATTTTTGATAATACTGTCAGTGGTTTTCTTTGAATTGACTCACTTTGTTCATCTGCCAATACCCAAGTCTGAATATCCATACTCTGTCTACCAGTCTTAAAGAGTTTTCCACAAAAAAGTCAGTTCAGATCGTAATGCAATCACACTGTCCTTTCCATTAGTCATTCCACTTCATTCAGCATGCAGCAGAACTGATTTATGTATACTTCCCACTTCATCACAAAGATAATTATTCAAGGAAAAAGATTTAATAAAATTAAGAATGTTTTTGTTGGAACAAAAACAGTAAAACTGGCATTTTTGTATCACGAAGTGTGTGAAAACTAAGAACAGTGACTGGTAGAACAGTCTGATGCCACTGCCTTGAACCGTGATTAGTGTCAGAAGTCTTACCCACCACTGACTTTTTGTACCACCAATACAAATGTCAACAAAGCGAAAGGGGTAAATAAAATTTTACTATTATTTAGAATACTTTTGGACTTATGAAGCCCTTAAAAGGGTCTCAAGGACCCCAAGGGGTAGCATGCTTTGAGAACCACAGGTCTAGTATAGGGACTTAATGAAAAATCTAAAGGTTGTAATGAAATTATACACAACAAAACCCAACTGTCTTTCCTGCAGGCAATCTCACTCATTATATACTCACCATGTGCTGATGCTTCCACCTGTGTGCCATCTGCTTTTCCCACCTCACTGTACAACTGAGGAGTGGTTTGATCTACTAGAGGAGGTGGCTCAACATAGACTGGATAATTCTCTACATGAAGGTGCTGCATCTGTGGCACATAGGCCATGGAGTGCCAGTAGTTTTGGTGATAGCACTTGGGCAAGAAAGAATAGAAACAACAAAAAAAACACAACTTTACTGTTCCCTATTATTAAATTAAGGAACTCTGGTGCCTTAGTGCCTAAGGCATTTAACTACTAACCAGAATGCTAGCGGCTCAAACTCATCAGTCACTCCTCGGAAGTAAGGTTGGGCAATCTACTACCATAGTGATGCCACTCCAGAAACCCAAGGAAGGGTTGCTATGAGTCAGATCCGACTCAATGGCCATGGGTTTGGTTTCTTGATAAATTAAAGAGGCCTGGTGGCTTGGTGGCTAAGCACTTGACTGCTAATTAAAAGGTCAGCAGTTCAAACCCACCGTCCACTCTGTAGGAGAAAGATA